AAAAAGGCAGTGTCTCCCGCAAATGCTTCTTTTGGCACAAGCTTTTTCACCTTCCCAACAATAAAAATCATTAATTTTAACGCTCCAAACCAGATGTCATGCAGTAAAGATGCCAACTTTGTTCAAGTACTTTATAAAATATGTGTTGCTGTTTTTATCTACGTGAAAACAGTACTTTTTGAAGCATCTAAAACGGTACAAACTAAGTCCTCTACCTAATGCATAAAAAACTCAGACAACATTGTTAGAAGCCCAATTAGGCGTTTCTCAGCGTCACTTAAGAGGTGGGCTTAGCCTCTCATTTAGACTGCTCGAAACACTAGGGGCAGTGCACTGGTCATCCAAATCCGTCTCAGCTTTTCACAAAAACCTGAAAGCCCACGCGTCCAATCAGCCTCCCATCCAGGGGCAGTGTTTTAAAACCGGACGCCTTGAAGAATGTTGTGATAGATGACTCCTGTGATGTAGAAGCTAATTGACTGGGAGGGGCACAGTCTTTTCCTGGCCCCGATCTCAGTAGCTCCTTCATTGCCTCCCCGCCCCCAACTAGCATCCACCCGCCGCCACCCAGGACGACCATGATGTACTGAGACTGGCTGAGGGGAGGACATATTCGGTGAAATCGGCACAGAGGTTGCACGTAGGGAATATGAATGGTCACGATGTAATCTGCGACTGGGCCACGCGTGCGTTGCGTTGCGTGTGTGTGTGCACAACCTGTGGGAGTCGGTGTTTTCCCAAGACCGCCCAAGGAACTACTTTATGGACAGGTGACAGGTGCTGGCAGGGGACTGCACTAAAAACACAGTAGTCATGCGGATAGGCCTGCAGACATGTTTTTATAGGGATCCTAGGTGGGGGGAGAAGGCATCAGTTGCGAAAGGTATTCACAAACGCGCAAAATAACTAGCTTTGGTGTCACTGGTAGCGGTCTACCACCACTACCAATGTCCCAGAATGTATGTGATCGTCCTTACAAAGGAGCGGGAGAAACTGACGTTAAATGCCATCGGAACAAATTAAGGCTGCGTGCCTATGCATTAGGCACAGAGCTGGCAAGCCCTAGACGTTTACTAAAACTTTTTTAAAAATGATAAGTCAGTCCGCAGGCCAAACTCAAGCTTCCCCCTTGCCGTATGGCTGTACTTTCATTGGGAACCGGCATTCGGTTGCCAGCAGCGGCGTTACATTTACCATTTCCTATCATGCAAATGAATGGCTCATGCAGAGATTCTTCAAACAACGAAAGGCTGGCAGCGTCACATCCTATGTCTGTCAACACCCTTCTGTCCTACTGTCTAACATCCGGGAATTCCCTCCGAATCGAAGCTGCTTACGTACAATGCATCTCATCGCAGTTTTTCCTTTACGCTTTTATTACTTCGCTCTCTTTGCCTGATGGATGCCTTTATATTTGTCCCTGGCCAAAACTCGCCCATCCTTGCTTGCATATTTGTTCAGATTAGTATTCTAGCATCTGTATGAAATGAGCGAAAAGCCTGCGCGAATTATTCATAGTTACTGTCTTTTAGCGTGCGTGGATGGCCGGATGTCGATGTGTAGCGCGTTGATAGATACAGCCTTGCAAATGTGAGGCCAAACTTAAGCGGTACAAGTCCAGAACACGACTCGGCCCTGGAAGTGATTCCCCTCACCTAAAATCCCGTCAGCCAGCTATGCGGATAGTGTCGGATGATAAAAACGAGCCTTATTTTGCGCAAAAATGAAATGCGGGAGGTAGGGATACCTTGTCTGCCAGGGAGCTCAGTTCTTGTTGAACGACGGCGAACGCACCGGTTGACCGGCTGAAGGGGCTTGGTGATCTTGCGCCCAATCCTAATGGCGGACGTCCAAATAGGCCTGTGGTGAACAAAACATGGTCACTCTCCAAACTTGGTTGTCTGCCACGCTTGAAGTTCGACGTCAGTGTTACATAAAACGACCAAGTTTGAAGCATCTGTGTTCACGTTGAGGCGTTAACAAAACTCGACACGGTTGTCAGTAGGGCCTAATCCATTTCCGTTGAGACAAGCTCAATGTCTCCTTCTTAATGCAGCCTGCACGATATTTCTACCCTGTGAGCCACCCTCTAGTGAAAATTGTGGGGATCATCTTGCTTGTCTGGCGGGTAAGGGAAGAGGGAAGTGCGGTAGATGCTGAACAGGTGCGCCTCATTATAAACGAATTTTCGTGAAAGTCGCCTATATTACACCCACTCCGTAGTTCACGCGGTGGCCTTCGTCGCTAACGACGGTCGAATCGTCACCCCTTTCCATTTGCAAAGTACATTGGTGGGTTGAACTCGGAACTAAGACCCTTAATACTATTTTTGGTCAGATCTTATTTCATAACCGTAATTGCAGTAGACAAGCCCAGTCTAACCCCTAAACCCTTAGAGGTGGACTACGAAATAGGATCTTGTCCTACTTTTCATAACAGAAACACTTTGTTCATCCCTACTGAAACAGTCACAATGTAGACAGCCCTCCTGATTAAAAACTCTAGTCTTCAAGGCTCACGATTAATTAGTTGCAGTCTCTTGGAAAACCCGCTTGCTCCAGGCAAAGAGTGAGGAGATGACAAGAAGAAAGGCGAAGGAGAGAACCAGATTGCGCTTTTATTTTAAAATAGTTAAACGTTCCGTTGGGAAAATGTGAGTGCAAAATGTAAATGCTGTCAGAAGATGACATCATTAAACTAACAGGAATAAACTAGATAGGGAATTCAGTCTACAGGTTGTCAAGCTGACCCATCTCCTTCGTTGAAACAGATCAGTTGCCATTAATGAGGACTAACATATCGGTTTCAAATATCGTTTGCATATTTCAGTATTTTGGCGAAACACCCTCCTTAATGCTCCACTTCTATCAACTAGCCACTGAATTTGTCTCAAAGATTAACTGTATTCATACAGCATATAGAGAGAAATAATTTGATAAAATGATGAACTGGCCTCAGAGCCCTAGGTATCGACTCCTGAAAGTGCACTGGCAAAATTTGTAAAAGATCAGACAATTTTGCGTTTACCAAACTTGAAGAGGACAAATTATGCCGCAGTTAGCCATGCCGAAGGTTATGTATCGAATGTCCCGAGAAAGTAACGCACTGCGTGTTTCTATCTGACATGAGGCATCTTCATCTGAACCGAGTTCCCGATTCGAAAAGACAACTTTTGTAGGGTTGTAGTGTTAATGATCGTGCAGCAAAATCTGAAGATATTTCTGTCATATCAAAATGTCGGTTTTCGGGCGAGCTTATTTCCGACAGTCTGCAAAAACCACACTGTAAAAAGGATTACATACGTAGTGTAAATTTCCCTCAATAGTTTCCAAAGCCTTTATAAATTCTAAAATACTTTATAAGAAATGTGAACAAAGGTATATTCTATTGTACTCATTTGGTAGTAAATTACGTCTTCGTTAAAGTCCATACTTGAAGGAAGAGTATAATTCGGTTTTAAGAAAGTTTTCAATTCCCGAATAGTTCTTAACCAGAACTGCTGTTAAAATTGCATTAAGGGTATCCAAACTACAAGCTGCATATTTTCCGTGTAATAAAAATCATACATTTCTCTGTGTTATTAGAAAAGCGCCACATGGCATTCATAAAGTTTTTAGTGGATTTGAACCACATTGTATACTTTAAAATTAACATTAATAAATGCAAAGATACGGGGTCTTATAAGTGGACGTTTCACGGCTTAAAAAGTTTCATAATTATGAACCGGAAGATACTCTTGCTTGTATACAGTGCGAGACCTATCTCATGAAATGTTGGCTGAAATTCTGAACTGCGTTTTCGATTAGGAAGGATTACTTGGTCGCGGTTGTAATACTGATTATCTTAAGGCATACGCTTATAACATTTCGGACTCGGCAGGATGTCGGCTTTTAAATGCACTTCTTTTCAATCTCCTGTAGAAAGCACGCTCGGTAAAAAATGATTACTTAAGTAACATGCATTTTTCCCATTGATTTTCGATGGTCTTTGAAATTCAAATATATTTTATAGAAACCACAAATAAAAATATGCTTTCTTTTAGTCAATCAATAGAGAATCACGTCTTCTTTATATTTTATACTTAAAGAAGGAGTATAATTAAGTTTTAAAAAAGTTTCCAATTGTGAGACTTTTTAAGACCGCGATATGTCCATTCACATAGCATCGTACCTGGCCGTTTACCACTGCTCCTCATGAAATGTACAACATGGTCCGCATCCATTGCAAAATTTTATGGACCCTGTATGATATCTCTTTAATGACATTGAAAAATATGGGATTTTCTTTACGCGGAACGCATGCACCTTGTAGAGTGCAATTACTAAGCGCTAATGCAACGAATGATCAGGCTCCAAATTTTTCGGCAATGAGAAAACTTTTTTAAAACCTAATTATACTCCTTCTTTAAGTATAAAATATAAAGAAAACGTGATTCTCTATTGATTGACTAAAAGAAAGCATATTTTTATTTGTGGTTTCTATAAAATATATTTGAATTTCCAAGACCATCGAAAATCAATGGGAAAATACATGCTACTTAAGTAGTCATTTTTTACCGAGCACGCTTTCTACAGGAGATTGAAAAGAAGTGCTTTTAAAAGCCGACATCCTGCCAAGTCCAAAATGTTATAAGAGTATACCTTAAGATAATCAGTATTACAACCGCGACCAAGTAATCCTTTCTAATCGAAAACGCATTTCAGAATTTCAGCCAACATTTCATGAGATAGGTCACGCACCGTATTTCTCGACGTTTTGTGCGGGCTTTTTATAAAATATTTTCGAATTTACGAGGGTATCGAAAATTAGTGAGAATAACTCGTACTACCTAAGTAATCATTCTGTACAGTGTAGTTTTTGCAGATGGTCGGAAATAAGCTCGTTCGAAAGTTGGCATCATACTATGGATCCTGCTGAACGATCAGTGGTATTATAATCCTACTTAAGTCATCTTTTCAGACCGTAAACACACTCCATAATTTCGGTTAACATTTCGCAAGATGGCACATCCACTGTAGGTTGGTATCTTTATGGACATCCCACTGCTGTCGTCCCACTATATTTGTCCACAAAAAAAGGTTCATTGCTAATGGATGGTGTGACCGTCAATTCGACGAAAGGCACCTGGTTGATGATGATGATGATGATGAGGAGGAGGAGGAGGAGGAGGAGGAGGAGGAGGAGGAGAAGGAGGAAGCTAAACTAGTTCTGCAAATCATGAATTCAGAACTCCGAAGTGACCTATACATGCTACCCGACAGAATGGACTATTAAGCGGAGACACAAGGAGGAACCGATTGTCCTTTCTTCCTTGATCACCCTCCTACTGATTAGTATGTGCGTCAGCTCTCTTCAACACTTCAACCGGTTCCCTTCTCACCAACCCGACTGCCCGAAGACGTAAGCCAGGTCACTCCCTTGAGACAATCCGAGCTCAACTTGTGCCCAAAAGTGTTCTTTTCCTTTTTGGAAATTTGAGCTGAAAATCGTGTCCGCCCTCTTGAACACCCGTTAATAGCTTGGCCAGTTAATCCATGACCCCTCAAGTTGGAGTACTACGCTTGTGTGCTGTCCAGACGGCAGTTAATTGAAGCAGAAGGGTTGGGGGGGGGGAGAAGCCGTGGCTGTCCCAGGAGGCGAGACATCTGATCCCGCCCCCAGCATTACCGGCGTGGTAAGATGGGAGGGAGAATTGCTAACAAATCTAAGCCAGCGCAGATGTCCCCGTTGGGGGACACCGGTTGCGTGGGAAGAAGAAGAAACGACATTCAGGTTGGCTGCCGGGGCTAGAGGAGTGGAAGGAGTGAGCTAACGTACACAGCACGGCAAAGTTCAACAGACGGCAGCTGCATCAAAAGTCAGTCGTGTTTAAAACTCTCAGAAGTTGAAATTCTGAGGCAGGGCACAAATGCCTGCAGGAGTGGTTGTCTTAGAGTCATTCAGAAAATATTGCTGTTAAGCCTAATGACTATTTGGGTCACCCTCGTTCCTGTCAAAATACATTTGCCGAACTGGCAACCACGGGAGGTGTCTTGCGTAATCAAAAAATAACATGGTTTTCTCCCGAGTATGATTTAATGAGCCGATTGTTCAAGATGACAATTAAATGTTTAGACTAACGCTCATGCATAAACCTCAAAGGGATAGGAAAGTAAACTTTTAATCCAGGCATAAGACCACAGTTTTCTTATTTTTCCAGATAAAGTGATTACTTTCATCAACGACTTGGAGGATTTTAACCTGGAGGTTTGCGTGAGACTCCAGACGGAAACTGACAACAAATTCAGCAGCAGAAGGCCTGTATACTGCAGTGCGCGAATTTTCATAGGTGGTAGTTGGTGAGATGGCAGTGGACGGCTAAAGCGGTTTAAATCCCGCTCAACAGATCCGACCTTACTGGAGCGGCATTCTCCGTTATCACTGCATTATCTCGACATTCTGAATAGAACACACAGTTCGTAGCCTAGAAAAGAAATTCTGTTTCCGATGGGGAGGGAGGTGGGGAAGGAAAGAAGTTCTAGTTCGGGTTTTTGCCTCCAGAATCGACATTTCAGGAAAAAAGACCCACAATAGAATCTAGTTCATTTCCGTTGATGGCCCTTAGCGGGGAACGTATTTTGCAAGGAAGGGACGACAGTTTGTTTGCATTCGTCACTTCGAACAATGTAAAGTGTTTGTTTGCAGGGAAATTGGAATCAAGCGAATTTTATTTCTTAAAACTAAAGCCCTTTAACCACCCTGATAGCAAAAAATCACTAACAAAAAATGTATCCGATCATCTGAGGGGTTTTGGGCTTGACTTCAGAGTCACACATGTTGTTGAGACTCCGATATTACTTCTCACCTTCGGCCAGTCACGGATTGGCCGGTCTGCACGACTTAGTGCAACGCTAGCTGTCGTACTATGTTCGGATGCTGAGCTATAACTTGGGAACACTGCCGTCGCCCCCAACTCAAAAATTTGGGCAAACTGTTTCTGCTCAACAAACCGATTACGCCTCTACCTATCCTGTCATTGAGGGTCAAACGCGTTATACAGTTATACTCGCCTGAAACTAAATAGTCGGAAACGCGTGGGCGTTCGTAAACCGGCCCCCTAAACGACTAGGTCGTTGAAATTGTTCTTCTTGTGGGAAATGAAGTATCACAAGTATTACCTTCAATTTTAATTCATTGAAAGCTTCCGGTGTAATCATTATCAGTTTATAGACACTCCAGTCAAATCGAATTATCTACCGCTACTGTCCGGTCGGCTATCGTAAGCAAAATACCCCATAAAATATCGTAAATGTAGATAACATTTTTGTTTACACCATAAAGCGAGTGTGAATTAATGGGATAGGTGCACTTCCGACCGGGAGCATCAAAGCGTCTCAGCGGGAAATGCTGCCGGCGGGTGTCTGAAGTTAAGAAGGTAAACAAATGCACATGGGTAGAACCCTTTATAGGCAGTTGGCAGGCTAAATGTCGCTTATTACACCCATCAGACTACTGTTTTGAACCTGCTGGTCGCCAGTAGTTTTTTGCTATCTAAAACAATAGCAATTCTGCCACAATTTCTGGACGATGACAGCTCGATACAGTCGGGAGTTTGCCTGCCGATGACTTGAACAGTAAAACACACAACTGTTCTAAAATGATTGAGTTCAAATTTGTCTCTTATATACACACATAACATGAATGAGCAAACCATTTCTCAAAAAAATATAAAGAAAGTTTCTCAGTAGAACCAAAACAGTTGCATAATGTGCCTTATTGTAAGAGGGTTTTAGTCCTTGCCTGGAGTCTCTAGAGTAATGTGAAATATGTCATATGCTACGTTTGTGGGGAAAGATGTGAAGGGTAAAACCATATCGAGTGACACAATTATTTCGCCAGGTTCATTTCCATGCACACCCGAAATATGAAGCTGATTCAGCAGTCTTTCACTTGAATTTGTGTAAGACCGACGTACAAGCTAATAATTTAGGTAGTTTGTATTTGGGACTCTCCCTCAAAGTCATTATTGACCTCAAAGGATGTCCGATCCCTGGGAATTAGGCGGCAGCAGAATCTTGTTGGAATTCACTGATTGTCTTTCCGTTTCGGAGGTAGCATTTCCACTTGTCAGTTGATGTAGAGGTATGCGTGTCTCCGCCAAGTTTTATTATCCGTGTCACCTTTGTGGGCTCGTAGGAACGCTGTTTTCGGAGGTTTCTTTCACATATACATGATAGATGGTTATGCCGTACTCCCAACATAAGTGCCGGCTAAAAGTCCAGACACACGTTTTGTTGATGTTTCTTCTGTTGCACGTTCATTGACATTTCAGCTTTGACTCTCAAAAGTTATGTTCCGGACACTTGACTTCATGTCTTGCACTAAATAATTTCTGAAACTATTGTCTTAATGTAAATATGCATATGTAATATGCTGGACTGAGGTTATTTTTGACCCAACTGGCAGGTCAGTAACTTTCTGACGAACAGAATGCTTGGGTTCTTCAAATAACTCTATCCTACAGAATGTGGCCTCAGGGTTGGCTGCAATGTCTCATGAATTAGCATCTCGCGTGTTGGAAAAGATTCGAAGCCAAGTTCTTAATAACTGCCCGTCTTTATGGAGGTTTGTAAACTAAGGGCCTCAAAACGTTCATAACTTTATTTCCATTTATAAGCCCCTTTGGTTTCTGTTCTTTACCGGGACAAATATAGGCTCGCCTGGTGGAATATAAACAATCGCCGTGACGCGTACTTTCTTAGTGATTCGTTGAACAGATCATGAAGCCATAAAAGTACACTACGATGCTCGGTCGTTTCGTGGAAATATTGTTGTTCCTAGCAAAATTGCTCCAGCGCAGTAGAAAGGAATACTAAATCTGCGGGCGTAAAGTGTGGGACTAAGACAAGAATCCAAATGCTGAAAAGGGGTCTTAATCTTAACAAGGAATATGGCGGCGGCGGCATTTGGTCAGCATCATGAAGTCTTAAACAGGACAGGGGAAAATATGACAGGATATTAATCGATACGAAGTAGAATCCATTGTCTATTCAACCGCCCCCGACACCCCTCTGCCCAGCCTGCCTCAGATACAACCTAGTTTCTGTTACCTCTGATTCCTTTTCCTCTTTCCATGATTATCTTAATCAGTGGCCCAACCAGCGCAGTCGGCGAGCCCCGCTGGTACCAAATAAGTGAACGTAGGAGAACTTGCAAGGAAGCTCAGTTACTATAGAGCATACTTGCGTAACATCTATCCCGTTCATTATGTCCACACTCAACGTATACTGATAGCATGACAATGCGCAGATGACCAGCGAAGAATACAGTAGGTGTGGCGGACTGAGTTGTCAAAATCGATTGCATAATTAAATTGTCTCATTTCCCGAAGCACAGTAGGCGGGCTAACTCATGAAATGTCAACCGAAATTCCGAAATGAGTTTTCGTTTCGAAAAGATTAATTATGTAGGGTTGTAGAACTAATCATCATGCAGCATAATTTTATAATAATTCAGTTGCCCCAGGATGCCGGCTTTCGAATGGACTTCCTTCCGGCTGCATGCAAAAAATACACTCTGTAAAAAATGACTACTTGTGTAACATGCATGTTTCTCATTGCAATTCGATGCCCCTAAAAGTCCAACCATATTACATGAAAAACACGCATAAAATTATTCATTCTTTTGCTCATTCGGTAGAAGCTTACGTCTTCTTCTAATTTTATACTCGAAGGAAGGATACAAGCCTCATTGGTAAATGCAGGGATATGATGATTTATGAACGGCCATTTGACGGTATTTAAAAGGTTCACAATTAGAAACGTTTTTGAAACCGAATTGTATCCTTCCTTCGAGTATTGAATTAGAAGAAGACGTAAGTTTCTACCAAATGAGCAAAAGAATGAATAACTTTATGCGTGTTTTCCATGAAATATGGTTTGACTTTTAGGGACATCGAATTGCAATGAGAAACATGCATGTTACACAAGTAGTCATTTTTTACAGAGTGTATTTTTTGCATGCAGCCGGAAGGAAGTTCATTCGAAAGCCGACATCCTGGGGCAACTGAATTATTATAAAATTATGCTGCATGATGAATAGTTTTACCACTCTACTTAATTAATCTTTTCGAAACGAAAACTCATTTCGGAATTTCGATTGACATTTCATGAGTTAGCCCGCCTACTGTACGGACATTCTAGATAATATAGTCGAGCAGCTTCCATCTACGCTTGTAGCACATGACCTCTCCCGAAATCGTCATCGATTTTTGTGTTGCTTCAAGCGTTACTTTC